ACAAGCAGATGAAGCGCAGCCAGCCGCTCGTTGGAGGCGACCATTCTTGCCATCGCCTCAGTTGCTTGAATCTGCAATTCTTCGGCCCGTGCAAGGGCCTTACGGATGTTTTCGGTATTCATGTCAACACGTCCTACATGAACACGCGGTAATGCAAGAGCATTGAAACTGAAACTGGCCGAAGAGAGAGTTTCAGTTTCAACACCCAAGGAAACCGCGTGATTTGCTTCGGCTGTTGAGCAGAATTCCAGAGACGGACCGTTTATCCGATAGATGTGCGGTCGTATGCGGCGCTATGCGGTCGTGTGCGGTGGTGTGCGGCCGCGTGAACCGTACGTTTGCGGGCTCCTACGACCTTTCGCGCTTGCGGAATGTTCGTAGGCTGTCCGACAAATCACCTCTATCCAGGTAGTTGAAGACTGGATTTTTGGGATTTCTTGCGAGACTGCTGTAGTATTTGTCGCCTTTATATGCGATTCCGTCCTGGCTGACGCCTTCCAGGCATCCGAATTTCTCATCAGCGAGTTTGGATAAACACTTCCAAATTGCATCGGTATTACCTTGAACTCGCCCCCCGGCTAAACGAATAGCCTCCCTGAGTTCGGTCTCCAATTTGGATGGTTTTCCAGAAATATTGTTAATTGTCACGCTCTTTTTTTCGCTAACGGATTTTTTTATTTCTGCACCGTCCGTTTCGACAAAGCTACTCGTGTGGTCAGGAAAATGCTTATGAAGCCATCCACGCAAATCAGATGCGCGGACAATTTCTGGCGTACCATCAAGGTCACCCAAATTCAACGCGGTCTGCAACCACCCAAGACGCCGCTCGAAGTCCGGCAGGTCATCGAACTCTCCTGGGTGTGGAAGTAATCGAGTCTCGAACTTTCGCTTTGTTACTGTGCGAGATGTGGGAGCATCTTCTCCGGGTTTGCTATGAAATCCCTGAGGGCATTGCAAGCCAAGCAACTCCGGCGCATCTAGGGAATACGGAGCAAGGAGACCGTCTGGGCACTGTGCCTCCAGTTCGCACTGCGAGCAGGCTTTCCGTTGCTGTCGCCACGTATCTTCGGCCTCGAACTCGGCTACAAACGCAGTGCGTTTGTCTTCCTCATACCCTGCCTCGATAGCGGCAATGTCCGCAGAATCCATGCGCTCCCTGATAATAGCGAAATCTACGCCCGCCCAGAGGGCGGCAGCCTCCACAATGCTGTAGGTGTATTTCATCGGCCCAGGTATGTAATAAATCAAGAAAAGACGAGGGTACACGATACGATGTCTGGGCGCGGGTAACGACTTGTACCCGGCGCATGTATAGGTAGGTACGTAGGTTCCCACCTATATAGGTGGGCACCTACGTACCTCTACCACTGTGTGTGCAACAAGCAATGCGAGAGGCGTTGTGAAAAACCGGCTGACCAGAAGTGCGACGAGCGGCACCGCGCCAATGGCTCCGCTTCCTGGCTGCCCGCCTTTTCATCATCAACGAATGAGAACTCCTGGCGAGTTCTCTGAAAACGCTCAAGCCATTACGCGCAAAGAGATATTCGTTCGCCCGCTTCGCACGGGCGATGGCAGCCAGGAAAGCAGTGACCGACAGTAGCCGTCGCACTACCAGATGCATCTTGCACGCTGGCTTCGCGGGCGTAGCCCGCAGGCTTACCCATTCTTCT